GTTGTTGTTGTTGTTGTTGTTGTTGTTACAAATTGTTGATGATGTTGTTGGTGGCAGCATAGGATCCATACCAATCATAAAACCCGGTTTGTTTCTGTTACAAAGTATCTTAACCCTGCAGTCGACGAAATGCTGGTTGTAGAATATCGTTTTTTGCGTTGCGTTCTAGTCAATGTCTCTATCTCACCAACACCTCAGTGCCCATCTAACAAATTTGCTTGTAAAAATGGAGCTTGTATTCCTAACAACTGGAGGTGTGATGGTGAAATGGACTGTTTAGATCACTCTGATGAGACAGGATTTGCTGGCTGTGGTAAGTATAAAAGCTGGTTTACTTTTTTAATAATTTGTCGGTTAACATGATAAGCCCATTTGTTACATCTGCATAGACTTTTTGCACGCATTGCTTGCCTATATTGCTAGCAAAACGTCTCGGTATCAGGATATTTTTTTGCTAAAACGGTAGTGGAACACGACAAATATCCAGTGCAAAATGTTTACAAACTAAATGGAAGACTTCAGTGCAAAACCTGAGTTGTCTAAACAAGAAGAGATCATCTAAATCTTCTCATACCGAAAACCCTTCAATTATACTTGAATTTAGAAACCTGAGTTGTTTAAACAAGAAGAGTATCATCTAAATCTTCTCATACCGAAAACCCTTCAATTATACTTGAATTTAGAAACCAAAGGACATGGAAAAGACAGTTTTGTATATACTTATTTGTCAAATTTATCAAGTATTTATAGGTATGCAACCCTTGCTTACCATTTAACAAATTGTCACGGATGCCCGTCAGCTCTCATAGTTTATCTATAGTTGTAAAGATGTGATTCGTCTATAAGAGAATTTGATTAGTGTTAAAACTAGTCAAGAAAAAAATCATTCGAGTTGTTGTTATCCGTTGTAAGTATATGGTTGCTGTTATTGAAATAAGGTTGCGCTCTTCCTATTTTAGCTGGTGCAACGTGCAGTGAGAAGCAATTCCGATGTTTAAACAGCAGCAAGTGTATACCTGAAAACTGGTATTGCGATGGAGATAATGACTGCGGTGCAGGAGATCTATCGGATGAATCTAACTGTACATCCGCCACATGCACTGATGTGCAGTTCCGCTGTAACAATGGCAAGTGCACTCCAAGCAGCTGGAGGTGTGATGGGTTCAGTGACTGTAGCGATGGTTCTGACGAGCTGCAATGTGGTAAGTGTACTCGGAGAGTTGTTGTTTACATGTAGTTACTGTAGAATTCCGAAAGTAACGGTGACCCCGAAAAATAACGGCTCCCCGAAAGTAACGTTAATTTTTTTTTACCTTCCTATTGAACCCTGAAAGTAACGGTACCCCCGAAAGTAACGGCCCCTCCGAAAGTAGCGGCCCTTTGAAGAATTCACTAAAAGAGATATTTTCTAATCTCAAGCGCAATGCGGATTGAACAGACTGATTGCGGACTGAACAACTTGAAGAGTTATTTATTATCTTATTTCGAACTTAACTGAATTTTTCTTGAAACTATGATTGATGAGCTGTATTTGTCTGGCAGCAGAGTCGAATGATACACTGTAGTGTAATCAGTTGCATCGCGATATAATACGATATAATAGTTTCGCGCTACAGTACCAACATTTAGGGCGTTTATTTGTTTATACAGTCTGCTTTGTTTATGTGGCTAGTTAGGAACACACAAATGGAACTTTTTAAAATTTCATGTGTCAGGCGTCCGCTTTGTCTGAAATGACTGTTACCGTATAAACGTTTTTTAACCATCCGAAAGTAACGGCTACCCAAAAAGTAGCGGCCCCTTTTGCCGGCTTAATCCGATAGTAACGGGTCCGTTATTTTCGGAATTCTACGTACTTATAATAAGCCATTTTACAGTTGTGTGCCCAGGCCTATGAATGCATGCAAGACTGGAGGTGACCTTGCTGTAATACAGACCTGTCTGCTTTCCTCATTTATTTTCTCACTGTCTATGTCTATGTCTACACGCGAATCACTTAGCATTAATTAGAACAACTTGATTAACACAACAAAAGCAGTGAGATCTGAATCAAAACAAGGTCACCTCCAGCCTCGTTGCCATTCAAGTTGAAGGTCACCGAACAGACAGCTGTAAAATGGTCTATTGGCCATTTTGACCAGGTCGCGCAAAATCAACATCTCTCAAAAGATTTAATTGGCAAGCAGTTTTTGTTTCAAGAAGTGTTGGGTATTTGTGCTACAGCTTTGCAGTGTAAAGTGCATTGCCTGAACCATATGGTTCTTTTTATTCTCCAAATTACGCTAGATTTTTTTCTATGTTGTCCTTTTAATTAGCCTAAAAGTAACTTCTATTTTCCAGCGGCTTTGTCTTAGCCTTTTGGCTTATCCAGATACACTTTGAAATATTGACAAATTCAACTTTAAGGAGCTACGTCAAGGTTTCGCGTCTTGAAAAGTTTAGCCTGAATTTTCCAAGTTCGTCGTTTGTTATCCGTGCTAATCTTCTTCATTCTTAACCATCCTTGTTCCTTTATGGTTTATTATCATCTCTTTAGTGTTTTTCTATCGTACCGCAGTAGTAAAGTGCTATTACTACGTAGTTTCCTTTGGTTTAAACGTAATTTTGTACATGGCCACAATAACTCGAAATACTGTGACTGTGCTCTTTTAAAGTAGGCGACCAATGTACAGGCTCACTACTCTCCTGGTCGAAATTCCTTGAAACACTTCATTCTGGTACCCCTTTGCGTTCAACTCCCACAGGATTGGTTTCAGACACCAAGCGGATCAAAGGACATTGAAAGAATTATAGGTTATATTGCAAACTCTTAAACTCTGAATTTGACTTTCATTGACAGCTACCTCTGTACGTGGTTGTGGTGCCGACAAGTTCTCTTGCAACAACACACGATGCATCCCGGAACGATTTGTCTGCGATCTTGATGATGATTGCGGTGACGGTTCGGACGAACATGCAAATTGCACACGACCAACTTGCCGCCCCACCGAGTTTACCTGCGACAACCAACGCTGTGTTCTGACGGAGTGGAAATGTGATGGCGATAATGACTGTGGTGATCTGAGCGATGAGCGAAATTGCTGTAAGTAGTACATCAAAGACGAGAGACAGTGCTTCATCACATTTCCAAACAGAGAAGAGAGTTGAAAATACGACGTGCAGCGGGATGCTCTAGACGAATCTCGAGGGGTTTGGAACCGTTGTGAAACACTCTTTCTAGTGTTTGATATATCTTCTTAAAACGGAACTAAGGAACTAAAAATCTATGCTAATTAAGATTAGATATCCAAACACCGTCACCGTCATAATAAAATTAAAATTACATGAAACTTCGTGCAAAGTACATACACGATAGCTACAGTTCATCTAAAATTCTTTGAAAAAATTAAACGTAGAGTCGATAAAGTAACTAATTATGCTATTAAGCTACAGTCGAGCCCCTATTAAACGGCCACCCCTATTAGGCGGCCAGTAATCAAGTGAAGGCTTTTCTATTTGTTTTTACCTCTATTAAGCGTTCAGCCCCCTTTAAGCGGCCACTATCCATTTCCCAGAGGTGGGCCGTTTAATAGGGGTTGATCTGTATGTACACATCCTAAACCTTTGTAATAGATCTTATTTTAATGCTCCCTAGAAGCAACTCCATTATCCTACACGTTCTTTTTTCCACAGCGGTAGTTACTTTGACATGCAGCCCCACTCAGCGGCAATGCTTCAATTCCTCTGTGTGTGTGGAGGACAGTAGATTCTGCGATGGACACACAGACTGCCCTGATGGTAGCGACGAGGGAGTTGGATGTCTACTGGGTGGCTGTGAGCAGAATAATGGAGGCTGCTCTCAGGTCTGCAACGATATCCCAGAAGGTTCGTCCATGCTAGAATTTTGCTTTAATTTGTAGTCTAAACGGTCAGTTAAATTTATTGTTAGCCCTCGTGGTTTATTCTTTATTCAAATGTTGAATAAAGTGACAAGAGAAAACAGTTTATGTCAACCTAGAAATCTCTCTACAATACTATGAGGGCTTCCCAGGGGTTGGGGGAACAAGGGAACGATCATCTATTTCAAGGCAACAAGGGATATTTTTGGGATTAATTTGGGGGAACAAGGGATATTTCTACTATTAAAAGGAACTTTGACCGAACTTTTTAAGGAACAATGGAATTTATTTGTAGGGAATAAGGGAGAAAGATTAAAATTTTCAAGGGATCAAGGGTTAATACTATATTAAAGACAATAGTATTTGGTACACTTATAGTTCAGTCCCTCCTGTCCCTAAGATAAGATAATTTAAGATAAGATAAGATAATTTATTTCATGTCAAATTACACAGGGGCTGGTCTCCCAGTCCGCCTAGCCAGAGGCTAATGATTAAAGTGTTTGACAATATTGCTAATATCTTAAATTAGAAATGACGTATATCTATATAAATTAAGTCGAAGGCAATTACTGCATTGACAGCCGGTAAAATTTAACTTAGTTAAAGGTCTACGAAAGGATGATGCATTCGGTGCATTTGTTTTCCCTGCGCTTTTGTATCTGCGCTCTACATAGCCTGGGTCCAATCCCGACGATACAACAGCCAACCGACTAATCCTTGTCACTTGTTAAGCTACTGAGTTATTTCTTTGATGTCAACAGGTGTGCTATGTTCATGTTTCGAGGGGTTTCATTTAGCGGATGACAACAAGACGTGCCGTGATATTAATGAGTGTAAGGACCCCAGCTCATGCAGCCAGCATTGTTTCAATAACAGAGGATCGTTCTGGTGTAAGTGCGTTGAGGGCTACAAACTGGAATCTGACATGAAGCGATGCAAAGCTGCAGGTAAGCGGAAATCCTGAAAAACCGGGCGTCTTTACTTTCAGTGCCAGTCTTTCCCGCTAAAGAGGTCTGGAACTCGACTTGAAAAGTCCCTTTCTGATGACGTAACACGACAGAGATCCGTGTAGTGTCTTTGAATGGAAAATTCAAAACTG